CACACACACACACACACACACACACACACACACACACACACACACACACACACACAATCGCACCAAGAGAATGGAGTCTTGGAAGATGAATACCAGTTACAATCTCTCCTGTTTTCTTGTCCTCCTCCTTGCCAACCCTACCTTTTAAATGGTCAAGTGGTAGCTAATACCCAAGCCACCAAAGATGCATTATCTTCAGGATCCCGGACAACCAACCGCCCCAACTTAGCTCATGATAAGCCCACAAAGTTCCCAGCAGTATTCCTACAGTTAAAAAAATCCAGCACGTTAAATCGAAATTTGTACCAGTTTTCAATAGACAGTTCCAGGAGGTCACATTATGATGGGAAGCACAGACCGCAAGGTCCCTGCTTTTCTGTTTCTTGCAAAGTGATCTTTCTTTTCTTTTTTCAAGGGGAGGCCCCTTCTATTCTGGGGGGCAGCAGTCCGGTTGCTTATTCCCAGCAAGCATGAGTTCAAGAATAAGGAGGCGACTTAGAAAGCTACAGTCTTTCCTGCGGCCGGAGCCACCTATGGGGAGAGGGTTGGGGGGGGGGGGGGGAGGCGGCTGCAGGGGCAGGGTGAGGCTCGGTTGCCCCACCCCCGCATCCCAGGCCCATAGCGTTCGGGAAACTTCACCCAGATGCACACTATGAGGCCCGGTATGCCAGGGGGGGCTGGGCACTCGACCTGCACCTGCAGTCTTCCGGCTGCTCCCATCCTCTTGCTCTCTCACCACTTGTTAAGCCTATATGCCCAGAGGGCTCTCCCTTGTTTCAATTCCTTCCTTTTCTGCCTATGTACTGTACTATCTTACATCTATTATCCATCCGTTGCTTATTCCTCGCCCCCTTTTGCTCCTCATCTCATCCGATGCTACATCAGTTTTTATACCCCCTCCCTTGCTTCGATATTCCTCCTTTCCCCAATGCAAAGTGATCTTTCACCTTCCCACTTTCACCTTCCCACTTCCATTGATTTCTTTTTTTTTCTTTTTTTTTCTTTTTTTCTTTATTTTATCTTTTTTTTTTCTTTTTTTTTTTAAGCTGCCTTCTCCTCATCGGGGGACAGCCATATATTTTTTCTCTCACCTCACATATTTTTTAACTGGCATTCTGCCATGTCATGGAACATGCGCAGTGTGTTTTTTTATTTAGTTCCGGATACACATAAACGGAAACCAACAACGTATCTCCCCCGCATGGCTCCTTCTCTCGATCAGTACCTTGGCTATCACTCCCTCTCATTTGTACAATGACCGTCTCTAAGGAGGTTATTCTTCGCAAAAGGCAACTCTAAGGGGTTAAACCACCACAACCTCTCCCAGGCAAACTTTTGCGACAAATGTCTCCACCGCATTCTTTAGAGGCTCGGCCTCATGGACCTTTATGGCTGACGATGCCAACCAAACAAAAAGGCGGTGCGCCAGTTTGTTTTGGACTTAGTGCAGCAGAGATCTGCTACGGGAGAAAGAGGTTCGAGGATAGTGATCTTTTAGAACGAAAGGGGGTTGGGCCGTTGTTTCCCAAGGAAAGGGACGTGTGCACGGCGCAGGGGAAATCAGAGACAAAGGGGACATTGGTGACAAGGCGGGCAAAGGGGGGTTGGGTTCTCATTATTTTCCAAGGGACACACAAATGGTTAGCGTGAAATCAGGGGGAGAGAAAGGGGACAAAGGTAATGAGGCTCGGAAAAATCAAAAGGGGAAGGGGGCAGAGACGTTATTCCACGGGAGAAGATGACATATCCATCTGGTCACGTGGCTCACTCCCACAAGCGCAGAGGTTTTCCAGAAATCATCATGCAAAGTCTCTCACGCAAAGTTTACCACGCAGTGGTAGTCTAGCCTTAACTGACAATACAAACAGGACTCCCCCAGCCCAGTAGCACTGGGGATTCCACACAGGATATGCCGCCGACCAGGGAAGGACAGTCAGGTCGAATAAGAGAGACCAATTCAATGGGGGCATACGAAAGAATCAACCAACATGAGCCTGTTATCCCCAAATGACTGCATTACGCAGCTTATTATACAAATAAAACTACCCCGCACATCGCAGCACATTCCTTATGTCAGTATAGCAGTAGATGGCATCTTCATCTGCAACGGGGAAGGCTCCTGTGACACACAGACGAAAACTTTGGAGCACAGGCGTGAACCAGTGACAGGGGCCAAAAGAGAGAAGGGTCTATGCAACCCGGATTACCAACACATGGGCAATCGGTACACAACGAAATCTACTTTCCACGAGTCCAAACAGCAGTTATCCAATCACAACTAAGAGCACCGAAAATACAAAGGCATTCACATGAAAGCTTCACCTTTGAGTACAGACAGCAATTATCCCAATCGCAACTAAGAGCCCCAAATAACACGACAGCACTGTAGTCACTGTACTACAACCAGCAACAAGCATACACGTCATACATTGGCAACCAAAGACAATTACAGAGGACTCATAGTTCCATACACATGACTCAAAACCAAAATCCGAAACAAAGTGAAACAGACTAAGAGGGAAATGCACCGAATCCGAACTTGAAAATTATATCAGAAGCGCTT